CCAAACGGCGCCGAGGACCGCTGGTGCGCCGGCACATTTCCCCTTTGCGGGGGGCTGGCTCTGCGGGGCTAGGGAGCCCCGGTGTGGGAAACCCCCCGTAGCAAAGCTCTCCCCTGAGGCTACCGGGGGCTCCACTCCCGGCCCGCTGCGGGGTCCCCTAGCCCGGTGGAGCTGCCGGAAAGCGGCCCCAACTAACACACGCGGCCCCGAGCTAGGCGACTCCCAGCCGGGCCGAGCCGGGACAGGGGGGAGGGGTCGCTCCCCCGGGGTCCGGTCACCTCTCGGGGGTCACCCCGCCACCGGTCCCTCCACACCTCTACCCCTCTCTGTCCATGGGGCCCCCAAGGAAACTTTCCCTGGAAGAGTTGGAAGGGCACTTTCAAACTTTGTCCCTTCCCCCTCCTCTGCCGTCTCTCCCCCAGCGCGCCCCCCGACCTCTGCCTTGAGGTCCCCTCCTGAGGCCGAACCCCCAGTGCTGCCCGGACCCTCTGAGAGATGAGGAGGGGCTCCCGGGTGGCCTCTTCTCCTCAAAGACCCCTACATCTCCCATATACCCTAATCGGGAATTCGTTTATATGCTTCTCTTAGCCTGGAAGTTTTGGGGTGTCAGAGGCAGAACTCGCTGCCCCCATCCCTGAGGCCCAGCCTGAGGGTTCAGTCCCTGTCCCAAGGCTCCTTGAAGGCAATGTGGGGGCAGGGGGGGCGGTCCACAATGGAGAAGCTGCCCCAGAGGCTCTAAGCAGGGACGGTCCTGGGGGCCCCTGTAATGAGGAGAGGCCCTGAGTGCTTTGGGGACTTGGGAAAGCGGGGCGCTGGGGTAGAGGTCGAGGAGGGGGTTGTATCCCTTGGGTTGTGACCTATCTTCGGAAAGTGTACAGTTCAGAGAGCCGTGGCCGCGACCACCGCCATTTTGCTGGGAAGATGCGATGTCTTTGTTAAAATGCACACAGATTTTCCCGTGCTGCCTGGCAGGTGTAGACGAGGCGGACACGGGGCGCCACTGTCTGCAGGGAGTTCTGAAGCTCGAGGGGCTTTAGTGGCCCAGAGGCCAGCAGAAGGGACCTCAGAGACCCTAGGACCCCTTTTCTGCGGCCGACCTCCTACTCACGTGCCGGGTCCGCTTGGCAGCGGCCCTGGGCTGAGATTCTGCGACGCTTGTTCCCTGAGCCCCTCTCCCACAACCCCGCTTTTATTCCCTAAGCATAGAGGCCGGTCACTGTTCACTTAAACAATACCCTGGGAGTGGGAGTTTGTTGCTGGTCAAAATGATGAACGCATCCCGGTATGGTCCAAGAGCTGTTTGCAGACACAGTAGGCTACTGGGGAGGGGTAAAAGGGAGGGGTTCGAGGGTTTTGATGTTGGGGACGGGATCGTAGCTGCGTGGGTGTGGTAGGGCTCCTATTGGACCTGGGAGTCTCTGAAGCCAGGGCAAATTAATGGGTTTCCCCCGCACGCCAAGGGATGGATTAATCCAAATGATTAGGGGAGGAGGGGGGAGGGGGAGCCCAAGACTCGGCGTTAGATGCCTTCTCTCCGGGCTTATCTCCGTGGCACAGGCGGGGAAGGGAAGCAATGGGGGGTCAGGTTAGTTCAAAAGGTCAAGGTTCTTCTTTTGATGGTGTCAGTTTCCCTTAAGTTTCGTCATTTGAAAACACAACATTCTGGTGGCTTTGTTTTGGTTATTTTCAAAGACAACTCGGGTTCCCATTAAGACCTGGTTGGGTTAATACGCACCCAAATAGCCACCCCCGTATCCGAGATGTTCCACCCTGAGAGCCCAGAGCCATGTCACCCCACCCCCCGCCCCAGATCCGTGCATGTCTTAAAGACTTGATGAATCCAATGACACGATGATGAATAATTTTATTTGCACAGTGCTTTACAGTTTGCACAGTGCTCCCCACCGGTTTCTGGATCCTTTGCGCCTCCTGCCTGTGATCACTATCCCCATCACCCCTATTTTACCGCGGAGGCCCGGGACTTAGAAGGATGGATTGGGGGCGGGGTACTGTGAGGCTCAGCTCCCTGACACCTGGG